AGAGGAGACTTCCCACAGCAAGATTTTAAATAAAATGAGAGATTCATCGTTGACATTGAGGAAGACAACTAAGGTGTACGACGTGCTCTGCCTTAAATCTTCAGCAGCGTTGGACGTGACAACTCGAGGGATGGAGAGAGCGTGCCAAGCTCCAAAAGTGACAGCACAGAGGAAGTCCAGCGAAGGAATTGTGTTTCTGTGTGAGGCACAAATACTAGGAGACTGGGAAATAGTTGACACCACTTTTCCCAAGGATGAAGATCACCTAAAGTGTGTCACTTTGCCATGCAGATTTGATGCTCTGCAGAGAAGCCTTCTGTGAGGGAGAGATGTAAACAGACGAACCTTTCATCTACATTTAATTCATGTCAACTTCTTTAGGCTAGTCGAGGGGGAATTGGAGAGAAACAGTAGTGTCAGGTGTGACTGTTGTAATTGTAACTGTGATTTTTTTTAAAAGTGAATTGCCCAGAGACAGATCTGAGTCCACTCCAGGGATACCACCATCACAGGCCAAGGTGAAGTGAACCAAACGTAGTGAAACAGGTCAATCAGATGAGTGTTTTGATTATTATGGCGGTATAGAGTTGGACTACGTTAAAGGGTCCACAATCTCGAATACATTTGATCTTTGCGCTGTCATTAAATGTAAGGGCTTGCTGAACAGTTGGGTCCAACATCTTTAATGGCAGTACAAAATCGGATGGCGTTAGATATGTTGTTGGGAGAAAAAGGGGGCGTTTGCGCGATATTTGGGGATGTGTATTGTACTTGTATTCCAAATAATACAGTTCCAGACTGCTCTGTGACCCGAGCGCTGGAAGGTCTGAGGACGTTGTCCACCACAATGTATGAGCATTCAGGATTGGATAACCCGTTGGAAGCGTGGATGACCTCTGTCTTTGGGCAATGAAAAGGTTTCATTCTGTCAATTATGGTTTCTTTGTCTGTTTTTATTGCAGTATCAGTGACATGTGGGTGTTGTTGTGTGCCTTGTATTAGAGCCTTGTTCGTAAGACTCATCATGATGCCACTTTCGGGAAATGGGGAGTCACAGTATGAAAACATTATGGTGAAAGATTTAGTGTAGTTTTATCTGCCATAGGGCAGATAAAAAGGGGGATTTGTAGAAATGTTTAGCTGATTTAGAGTTTAGAAATGTGTTAACATAGAATCTAGAATTATTGTAGAGACA